AAATTTGAGAACTACTCAAGCTATTGAAACTCACCAAAATTTATTGTTGGTTTTTAATTGGTGTGGCAGTCCTAAATCTCTGTATGTAATCCTAAATTAGACATAATCCCAGTTAAGAGAAAGTTAATTCAAGTCAACAATTCTAGAATCACAATATTTCATAGATCTTTTCCCCTCAAAAATTACTTTTTGATTTATAATCATCTTACCCGATATCACCAAACTATTATAATGCCTTGTAATTTAACAAGGAAATGCATGAAATATTGCTATCTGAATATCACATGTCTTTGATGATCCTCTTTGCCATTTAAAGTATGAATATTGAGAATCAGAACAAACAGAACTATTTTTAAAAAGTACTCTTGCATTCATCTCTTCAAATAAGGACAGTTACAAGTAATATATAAAATGAAACAGTAAATTCCACCACACACACACACACACACACACACACACACACACACACACACACACACACAGATGCTGGAGGCTACTTGATATCATATTTGTACCCTTCAAAACAGAATCCTATCATTTGGATTTACAACACATTTTCCTGCCATTAAGCCTGCCCTGGGTGAAAAAGGTATCATTCTGCCAAGGCTGAATCTCTTTCAGAGAAAGCACTGGAATCATCTTACACAAATCCTCTCAGTTCAGCTCAGGACAAAGCATGAGTGGAAACTACAGGGATCATTTTGCCAAATGACCAGATATTCTTTATGAAAGTTTGAGATTTGTATAGTAAGTTAGACTTTGTTCCTACTACTTAAAAAAGTCTAGAAGGCATTTAGGCCAATTCTTCCAATATTTAGAAAGCAAAGACAATAAGACATACTTGTTTGTAAAGCAAAGTTATCATAAACTAAACTACAAGAGCAAATTTTTCATGATTATCTCAGCTTACTCGATATAATACCAGAGAAAAGAATTTACTGCTCTTTCAAAATCCAATGTCTATAAAGACAGAACGCCTTGAAGGAAAATTGTACCATACTTAAGATAGTGATATCTTTTATTAGTACAGTAAAGTCCTATTTTTATGGAATAGGATGGGTCTGAGGTCATTCCATAAAATTGATTTCCTAGAAAATGGAAATAGGCAATTTACCCTAAGAATTTTATTGAAAAATTATGCTATTCTATTTGAATAATGATGGGAATGTTCTACATGTTTCCTTTATTAATGAATTAAAATACACAAAACACCATAAAATTATATTAGAGGTTCAAAAGTATCACTTAAATCTTTTTTACCAGTCACTTTCATTTTGTAAAATCAGCAGTTCCATTAAAATCGTATTATGTAAAAATGGGTTTTTACTGTAATAATAGTTATTACCTATTTAGCTCCCAAGGATGTTGTGAAAATTAAATAATAAGCCATTGGAAAGCAAATACAAAGCATCTCTAATACCAGAGACCAAGAGGGGCAGCCAGATGGAAAAATGAAGGAAGAGAGCACCTGATACATTACAAATCACAGCTTTCATCTATAATTCCATTACCGCCAATTCTCTATGCAGTGGTCATGTGCACTGATGTCATCTCATTTAATCTTCTTAATGGTATGATATATTAATTATAGTCCTCATATTATAAATAAGGGTCAGAAAGGTTTACAACTTGTCCGATGTCTGTCACACAGTTGTAAATGTCAGAATCCAAATGTGAACCAAGGTTTCTCCTAGTCAACAGACCATCCTAGATCTACCGAGAGATCTTCAATATGTCCTTCTGTCTCATAATTGCCCCTCAAACTCTTACCCCATATTTCAAAATTGACTTCAAATGCCTCTTGCTCCATGAATCCACCTCTCCACTCCCGAGATGCTATGATTCTAAACACATTCTGCATTTATATAGCTATTTGTTTTATTATTACGTGTTATATGTTTGTTTAATCAACCCAGTTAAATCATCAGCTGTTTAAGGTCACAGTTGTACCTGACTTGCCTTTGGATCCACAGATCATGAACACCTGCCTTGAACACAGTGAATATTTATTCTATATTCATTAAGCTGAATTGGAAAGGGGTATTAATTTGAATTACAGTATTTATTACTAGATGCAAAGCAAATGCCTCCACTTATGGTTCACTGCATTAGATACCTCTTTGGAAAGTTTCTTCGGTTTTTCCAAGTGTATGTGGCAAAATTAAAATCTTCAAGTAGAACATCTGATACATAGTAGGTAGAACATCTGATACATAGTAGGTACTCTTTGTATTTTTTATTTCAAGTTAAGAGAACAATGTGAACCATAAACAAATAAGTATACATGAAGTATAATATGTAGGCTGTTCTGAATGACTCAGGTAGGAATGGTTTTTAAAAAGAGAGAGATACAATGAAAAGTTAGAGCTCTGGAATTAAACTCTGTGTTCCTGTCCAGTTTCTTTACTTACTAGTAGGGTAAAACTTGAGTAAGTTACTTAACCTCTATGTCCCAGAGTCTCATCTGTAAAAGTGAGGATAATAACTTATAATCATGAGAATTAAATGAAAAAATCCTCATAGAACACTTAGGGCAGCGCATGGCACATACTGAGCACTCAAATTATGGTTACTACTATCCTCATTATTACTATCATCATAAAAATAATTTCATACTTCCTAGGAACCTGTTCAAAGGAGAAGATATTATTTTCCACATACCTATAAAATCCTATCATAGTTCTGTATCAACTTTGTCAAACCCATAGATTTATTTCTGCTACTGAATGGATGGTGGCTTTGAGGTCATACACTTCATCCAAGCAATGTTTACTGAACATCTAATTTGTGCCACACTCAGGTGAGCAAACTTACTCGATTCAAAAAAAAAAAAAAAGACTGTGCATGAAAGAAACAAGGACAGCCAGGAAAAATTGAAGAGTTCAGACATAGGCAAACCACGAATTAAAGCGAAGGTAAGATAAAATCCAAAGGTCAATCAGAGTTCAAAGTATCATGAAAGGTTTGCTAAAAATCAGAAGAGAAAAGTGAGCCAGAGCAGCTCCTGCATCAAACGCAAAACTGAGTGGCACAGTGGACTCAACTGCTGGTCAATCACAAGCCATTTGTTGGAGTTACAAGTAAGAGTATCAGAAAAGAGGAAGAAACAGTCGGCAAAGAGCAAGGATTTTATTTTTTGTGGATTATACATCTGTGTTTAACTCACCCGTTTTTTCATGTGAATGCTAAAAATAATGAACAATAACTGTATGTTTTAAACAACACTCTTCACAACAACACTGAAGAGCCGATTGGAAAGTATTTTATGCATCCAAAACCTCTGTCCCACCTCCTTCCCTCCAACTCACATCACAAATGTGTGCTATTCAAGACAGCTCTATGGAGAATTCAGGCCCATCGTATGATCTTATTAACTGACCATGAACAAAGAAATGAAGGATGATGGAGAATGCCGGGGTTCCCAAGGGGCCAGGGCACACAGTGGACACAGTCAACCCCAGTGCCAAGCAAGATGGCCAAGATTGTTCCTCGCTTGGCATAAAAGTCCCAAAGGAGACGAAAAGCTTGGCAACCTTCAAAAGCTTCTCTTGCTTCCTGCATGGCGTGGGGAAAACAGCTTGCTTAGTGGGAAAAACCATAGCCCAGGGCGAATCCGCTGGCTAGATTCATCAAAGAGATGGCTGAGACAGAACAGATTTTTTCTTTCTGTAGGAATGACTTGCGAGCTTGTTTATTAAAAAAAAGTTACATCCTCCATTGAGAGAGGTGAATGATGGAAAGCATGATAATGATAATAATAATTCAAGCTTGCCTTGGTCATCCCACTCCCTCCTGTCCCTCATTTCTCTGTGCATAGTTACACAGACACACCATGAATGGCCATCAAGTGGCCAGTAAGTTTTGTTTTATTCTGCCTTCATTCTGCCATTAAATGAAACAAACAACACATCACGTTATTTTATTTTACCCTTAGTCCTTTTTAGAAAAGGAATGTGCTTTGTAGGTTAAGAATAAGGACTTAGTGTCAGACTACTTGTGTTCAAACTGTAACTCTGCCTAATTGCAAGCTGTGTGACCCCGAACAAGTTATTTAACTGCCCAGGGCCTCTGTTTCTCTGGCTGTAAAAATGGGGATAATAATATTACTTACTTAATAAGGTTATTGTAAAGATTAAATTAGTTAGTACATGGAAAAGAGTTCTTGGCTCATTGCTAGTTCCAAGTAAATATTTGACATTATCATTATTATCACTTCACAAACAGTCAAATGTTCTTCCAGTACAGATCTCCTTTAATCACTATTACCCCAAGAGGTTTAAACTAAACCATAAATGGAATTAGGTCTTTGTGGGGGGAAATACAATTGCTCAATGAAAAACATTTTCTTCTCAGCCTCGGTAGATCTTCTGGACCTTTTAAAAAACTCATAAGAAAGAAGAATTTCATAAACAGAGGTATGTATTTCTGCATATCTAACAAATCATCTTTTAAAATATATGTGTATACTGGGAGATAGTTGGAGAGAGAGAGAGAGAGATCATTTTTCTGTTTTATTAATTTATTTCTTCTCGGCAATTTTGAAAAAATCATAGCAACAGAAGAGTTTGAAATTTTTGATCAGTCCTAAATTTTAAAATTCACAAAGACAAAGGATCAGGAGGCATTTATAACTTGTTCTCTTCCACACCCTCTGTGTCTCTCAAATTTAAGGATACTAGAACATGTAAATCCATTCACTGACACATGAAGACAATTACCCAGTTAGTAGATTACTCTAACATCTTTCAGCAATGATGATTACTTATTCTAATGGACTATTTTTTCTTGATTTCACTGGGCTAGGAAATTCCCTACTTACGGAAACCAAAAAAGAAAAACAAAAGAAATAAAGAAAAGAAAAAGAAAGGGGGAGGAGGTGTAAACATAAGTGTCTACTTATTTCCACAGTCTTTACTGTGTTATACAATATAAATGAAACATAATCAGATTTGGCCTGGTTCCGTCTGTCTGTGATTTATCTCAGGGGTTGTTTTACTCACTGGGTAAAATCAGGACATCATCCCCAGGGCCTGGTATGGTATGGTTGTGTCCTCCCCAGCCCTCTTCAACGCCTTGCCAAGTTTCAGGGAGGGACCATTTTAAAGCTGATTCAGGTGCTGAGGTAGAAGCTAGAAAATAAAAGAATATAGCAAAGATAATTATGAAACTCTAACTTATGATAAATCCAAATTCTACTCTTATGCTAGGATGTCAGTGGTATTTTCACCTTCCAATGTAGCTGCCTTTTAATATGTGTTCATAAAAAAATCATTAATTTAAATGCAAGTAATCATTTGATCCTTATATAATTTTCATTTCTAGAAAAGTATATTTCACTTTTGTTATTAAACATCTGTGTTTTGCCTGATAAAAATATTACATATGTTTATCATGAAATATTTGGAGAATGCAAATAAAGAGAAAATAATAATTGTCTATAATCTCACCATCTTGTGATAACTGTCATGAACTTTTTATCTGTGTTTTCTTCCAGCATTTCTCAGCATTTTTATATTATTGAAACTATATCCGGTACTTATTTTTGCATCCAGTTCTTATTTTGCTTAGCCTAGCCATTTTTTCCTATTATGTTATATTATTAAAACTTCTTATAAACAAAATATTCTTGGCTACATATCATATAAAACCCCATAATTTAGTTAATCCCCAATGTCTGGCATTTAGCCTTTTTCCATTTTCTGTTTAATTGTAAATAATGCGATGTTAACTGTCTCTATGCAAATCTGTCAATAACCCTGATTACCTTCTTCAAATAGATTCCTCAATGGAATGACTGAGTCAAAGGGTATGATCTTCCCACAGCTTGTAATGCATATTAAAGGCAGGATAATAATTCCAGCACTTCTCAGTGTGGTAACTTATACAACAGCTCATACATTCCTACTGGTTTTTATTGATTTCTGCTTTTGATGATCAAATAGCATTTTCTTTTCAACCATTCTACCGGCATCTCCATCAGAGAATTAAAATGTAAATCTAATAATTTCCAGTGGGGACTGTCCAGTACCATATCATGCACACCATGCTAAATTGTATCCACTTGTTCTTCTCTGGGATGTGATCACAAGTACAGGTCAAAGAGGTAGAGAGATTGTCTCAAAAGGATAGGATGAAAAGACCTCCTCTTTCGATTGGAGGGAGGAGATCCCATTCATTACTTGCTAATTTCACAAGCACAAATAATGAGATTTTCTCTGTTAGAAATGCCCTAAAAAATTAAAGATGCAAAAGAATAAAATGCCGCCCTTGCCTCCAAGGAGCTAATATTGTAGCACTAGTAAATCTTGAAAGAATAAAAACATGAACAGGCACTAGGGGGAGTTTTCTTCTATGGTACCTGACCAAGAAACAAAGTAAGACCTTGCTACCTGAAGGAGATAGTGTCTGAGTTTCATTTTAAAGGCTTAGAAGTTATACAGGTAAGTGATGAGGGTGAAGAAATAACCAGGGGCCAGATGTGAAGAGCAACAAAGATAGAAAGACCAAAGATTTCTAGCCCATGAAGATATAAGTTGATAAATTCAGCTTGGGCCATATAGCACTTGGGGAAACTTTGAGGTCTGCAGGTGAAGATACACAGCAAGCAGTAGATGAAAATGAATCTGAAGAATGAGAAAGAGCTCTGACCAGAGAGATGGATTTTAGCATCATCTGCCTAGAGGTTGTATTTGAAACTCAGGATGGTTTTCACAGCTCCAGAGAACTGTAAGGTGAAAAGGGAAATACCTGATGTCAGAACCATGGTGAATATTCAGTAATATTTTTCAACTGGTTTCAATTCCTCAGTGGTCATGGTTTAATTAGAGCCCTAGCATAACTTAAACACATATAGATTGTGGTCAAGCAGAAACCATAGGCAATTTAATTAGCACAGAATCTACCACACATAGTAGAAGTAAAGCAATGTCTTGGAATAAGCCTCACTCAGTAAGAAGTTTTATAAATATTTAATAAACATCAACACTATAATATCTTTCTAAGTTTTCTCTCAATTTTGCCTCTTTCCCAATATTGTACCCAAAATATCCAGATGGAGATACGGTAGGGGCATTTGCTGGGTTGGCCACTGACTAGCACACAGTCCAGATAGGACATTTCTGATGCTTCATTTTCAGTAATATTTCAAATGACTAGGTTATTTAAAAACCCATGCCAAGGCTCAAAAATCCCAGATGATGAAAACACTCTTCATTTTTGTTATCTTCACTGTTGTTTACAGGAGGGCTGAAACGTCTTTAACTGAACGAATTAGATCTTAAGGCAATTATTCTAACGAAGAAATGTTACTTTGCACAAATTTGATCATTCTACACCATCCTGCCTTTAAGATAAGAACACCTAAGGAGGAAGGAAGCATGTTTTGGTCTCCTGTCAGAATTATTAGGTTTCTATACAGTTAATGTCAGGTTCCTATGTAACTACCATTGACATTGAAAGAAGAGTAAAAGAAGCCTACAGGAGTGAAAGAATAAGCATTTAGAGATACACAGAGATACTCAAAAGAGAGAAATGCTTTGGAATTCTAAGAAATACAGCATTTGCAGAGAGACGTGGCCTTGCTAACAGCAGAATTCTGATAAGAGAGGGAATTAGAAGTGACTATTGAATATAGCAGTCAGGACATGGGTGATCCAGATGAGAGTAGTCCTAGTAGAGTGGTTGAAGTAGAAACCACATTACAGTGGACTGGGGAATGAACTAGATCAAAGAAGAGAAGATAATGGGCCAGACCATCCAAAAAGCTCATTGAAGAATCGACAGCATTAATATTTGAGACCCACAGGTTTTGATCTGTCTTCAGAATCCTTCGATATGTTAGAATTATTTTGAAACTGGAGTCTGTGAATTTCCATCTAAGTCAACACTCGTGATGAGTCCTTATCCTGCTTCTCTATACAAATTTGTCCTCCAACAGCAGCCAAAATTTGAGGCTGTCTCAAGCTTGATATATGAGCCAAATATTGCCCTCCATACCTTCACACTTCATCCATCCCAGCTTTCCATAGTTTAGCAAGAGGAGACTAGTCTTTTAAAAAGCTTGCAGGAAAGATATTAGCTGAATGAGGAGTCAGTATTCACAAATTGTTTTGTTTTGTTTATAAGTGAAAGTCACTGAACAAAGGAAACCAGTATAGAAAGAAAAGTTAACTACACAAGACAAAGAGTTGTTCACTGATGGGGTAAAGTTCAGAAGATGCCAGGACAGATGGATTAACTTGAAACAAGAGAGGGGCTGCCTGATTCTCAGAGATCAGAGAATAGAGCACACACTTAGGTATGTGGGGAAATTTAGGAAGGGAATATCTGATGATCTGCATGTTCTCATATGTCTGTGGACAGTACATGCAATTAGCCACCACTAAAAAGACAACAGTTAAGGTGCAGGGTCTTCAGAAAAAATAATAATAATAATAATAAATATTTAATATTATTTATTATAACTGACTCCTTCTGAAAAGCTCTGGATGCTGTTCTTCCAAAGAGTCTTTAAGCCAGGTTCAGTGGCTCAGCCTATAACCCCATGCCTTGGGAGGCTGGGTTCGAGACCCACCTGGGCAACTTGGTGAGACCTCATCTCTACAATAAATCAAAAAATTAGCCGGGCGTGGTAGCACGCACCTGTAATTCCAGCTACTTGGAAGGCTGAGGTGGAAGGATTTTCAGAGCCTGCACTCTGGATGACAGAGTGAGACTCCAACTCAAAAAAAACAAAAAAACAAAGAGTCTTTAATATGGAATTCTTCATACCAAGTTGGAGAGACATGCCACTTGACTTCAGCTGGTTGAACAAAGAATGGCTACCCATAGGCGGTCCGGTATCCACAGAGGAGTCCTGACATGAGAGCTTCCCCAAGTGGTATGCCCTCTATAAGACAGGGACTGACTCAACCAATCAAATATTTTCTTGAGAAATTTGAGCTTTCAGAGATAAGAGAATTATACTTTTCCTTGGTAACAGTTATTTTAAAAGAAATTTATTAACTGACTACTTAATCATTGTTTGACATCCCCAAGAGACCATAAGACTTCATGAAATCAAGGACCATCCCATCTCGAACTTTGTGGTATCCCCCAAACCTCTGCATGAGCGGCACTCAATTAACAATGAATTTTTAGTTACCTGAGAAAACAGAGATTAAGGACAGGGGACATAAAAAACAAGGTTACAAGGATGCTCAGAAACCATCATGAAAACAATCTTGAATCACATTCTCCATAGTCCAATAAACATGTAGTAACCAACAGCAATTTTGGTTTATAGTTTTAGTCCAGTATGCTTAACTTCATTTATTGATTAATTTAGATGGTAGAATTAAATCTTTTCCTTTCTTTCTCTTTCTTTCTTTCTTTCCTTTCTTTCTTTCTTTCTTTTCTTTTCCTTCTTTCTTTCTTCCTTTCTTCCTTTCTTCCTTTCTTTCTTTCTTTTTTATTTGATTTTATTATAAAGATGTGGGGTACAAGTCTGGATTAGGTACATAAATAATGTATGTACAACTGAAGTTCGGGCCTCCAATTGGTCCTCACTTGCTTTGATAGATCATTTTCCGATTAGTACGGGCTCTGCTCTGACATAACACAAAAATGCCACTGAAAATCAAGGGAAAACTCTGCCTTTGAAAAGATTTATTCCTCCCGCAAATGTATAGTTGATTTAGAATAAACAAAAACAGATAGTGAAATACCTTAGAAGGTGCTTATGAGATATTTAGTCTTTGAGAACTTGACTTTTTTAAATTAGAAAGCTTTCACAGAGCCATCTGACTTTTGGCAAGGCTTTGTTTGCCCTGATTTCCTTAAATTACCAGAAACAATTAAAGTTTAGAGATACCCTGAATTTGTCTTTCTGTTTGGAAGGGGCCTAATAGCCCATCTGCAGATCTGGAGTCCTGTGTGCACATATGGTCCATAATTTATGAAATGTGCTTATTTACATGTTTCAATTCTTGTTTTCATTGTTTTGAAAAATAAATGCACCCTTATATCTTTCTTTGACGTGCTGATACATATTTTAGTTATAGGAGAAACACAATAGAGAGTTGTCAGGCATAAAAGCATTAGGACTGATGCTTGCCTGTTAATTAACAATGTGACAAGAAAGAATGTAGAGAACTACTGGAGGGCATTCTGCTGTATTAGGCACTTCTATTCAGTGTGTTAAAACTCACCTGTAACCACTGCACTCCATTCTGGACGACAGAGTGAAACCCTGATAAAAACACACACACACACACACACAATACTCACCTGTAATAGTTGGAGGTACACCTGCCTTCACCTGGAGAATTACTTGAACTTGGCCTTCACCTGAAACTGAATACAAAAAGCCAAAATTTGCATGTGATGCAAAGATTATCTTAATACTAAAGATATTCACATGTGAAAAAAATGGATTTATACTAAATTATCTCTGTCCTAACTATATTTTCAAAATAAAAAATAAAGTCCTTGTAAGTTAACCTAACAACTGATTTCCAACATTTTATTTTGATTGCTTGTATTTGATTAAACTTAATTGCAGTGAGATCTCCAAGAGAATTGGCACATAAATAATTCAAAAGAAAAAAAAACTTTAGCCATATGTTCTTTAGAGGCCAATGGTGTCCAGCAGGGCATAGCTCATATCCTATTTCCTCTCCATCATTTCATAGGCTCAGCTTTTAGAATTCATGTGTTTTCACCAAGAGAGTTCAGATCATCCATGAAATGTATTTGCTTTACCTTTATCCAAACAAATTGTCCTTTTAATGAAGGCTTTTCCCCAACCCTCCCTTCTCCTCCCATCTTCCAAACCAACTGAGCACATTTAAAAGGCCTGGGGTTCATTAATTTTAAGTGTTCAATAAATTAGTGGAAATAATCAAAAGGCCTGATTCTTTCTGATAATGACAATTTGATGTCAGTATAAACCAGTAGATTAAGCTGGGAACATATGCTCCTTTGCTAAGAAAGGCTGGTATAATTAAATAGTGAATGCATCTACAAGGTGCTCTCACGCCTGATTAATTAGTAATCAGGTACACAAACTGCATTTTTCTGGTCACACCTTGTCTCTTATTGGTTAATTACCTTTCTGTCTTATCTGCCTTATATGTTATGTGAGCCACACCTCCCACCACTGGAGGGCCCAGTAATGCTGAAGGCTGTAGTCCCTGGGCCTTGGCCAAACTCATACTCTCCATTTTTGCTTTCCTGGGGCTCTAAACCCTTTCCTCCATTACAAATGAAATAAACCAAGGATCATTCTTACTAATTACAAAACAGAAGCTTCAGAACATCACAAAGAAAAAGATCCCCAAAGGGATCCATGATGACACCTCTCCAATTCTTCTATTCTTTGTTTGGCTCATTTTTTAATTCTGAACTTTTTTCAAGTATGAAAAGCATGTGTCTGTGCCTTTCTCCTTACACTGTGATATCTTGAGGCCTGGTACAATGGCAACATGCTCTTGATTTTTTAATCACCACTTCCAGGACATTGCTTAAATTGTCCCTTTATCCTGTTGCTTATTTCACCCATTGTCCTAACTTAAGATAATAATAATAATAATGCCATCAATCTAGATCTCATTTTTAAAATAAGGTCTAAAGTTGGCAAGCACTTCTAAGTCCACATTAATATTTATCCCAAGCTTGTTCTCAATTTAGTAAATATTCATTGAGCATCATCTGTTAATTTAGGATTCCATCAATAGTTAGCTTTGTCTTCAGATTTTTGAGGGTGGGTACCTTACGGACTTATGATACCAGGTACTGCTAGAAATGTAGATATTTGATTTTCCTGGACAAATTTAGAAATTCTAAGTTTACAGTGTTCTGCACTAGGTACTTAGTACTTGACTGACAATTTACACATATTCTTCTCATTCTCTTAGAGTCAGGAAATAACCACCTCCAAGAAGCCAGAAGGCAAAGTAATAATAATAATAATAATAATGTTAGACTTCACTAAAAAGAAAAGGAAGAGAATATGGACAAGATGACACCTAAAAAAGGCTAAAATCATGCAAAAGACTATAACAACAGAATGCCCTTCTATAAGACAAAGGGATTAAATAGTATAGTAAAATCAAACTCAAAGATAAATTAGAAAAAAAATTCTAAGAAACACTTGGAAAAGGAAATCAGTTCATTTAAAGATGTCACAAAGGTCATTCTTATTTAATGGTTTCCAAACAGTAGAGATTTCAGGACATCTGTACCCTCTTCTTTCAGACAGAGCCACTGAGGTAAGGAAAGTAATAATAATCACACATCAAGAGTTTTGTTGGGTGGCTAATGCCTGTAATCCCAATACTTTGGGAAACCAAGGTAGGAGGATTGCTGGAACCCAAGAACTTGAGACCAGCCTGTGTAACATAACAAGACCCCATCCCTACAAAAAGATTTTTAAAAAAATTAGCCAGGCATGGTGGCACACATCTATAGTTCCAGCTATTCGGGAGGCTGAGGCAGAAGGATCACCTGAATCCAGGAGTTATAGGCTTTTTGATGGGTGATTTTGCCACTGCACTTCAGTCTGGGTGACAGAGTGAGACCCCACTAGATAGATAAGGAAATTTGAAGTAGAGGAAAAACAAATCAATGTGTCCAAAATCTCTTGAGTAAAAAAGAGGTACTGCACTGTAAGTGTTCACACATTGTAGTTTTCACTGTGATGAGTATCCCTAAGACTGAAGAGTCTAATCCTAAACATATCTGCCTCCCATGAGGGCTGATCCACTTGCTTTTTCACTCAGTTCCTTACTTAGGCACTGTTCTCAGCAAACCAAGGCTTTCCAGAGTAATGCTTGTTGTGTACATAGTTCATTCTACTACACGGCACTGATTGCTTCCGGACTTAGTGGCCTCATTTTCTTTTTCCTTCTTTTTTTTTTTTTTGAGTTGGAGTCTCACTCTGTCGCCCAGACTGGAGTGCAGTGGCTGCTCCCAGTCACTGTAGCCTCGACCTGCTGGGCTCCGGCGATCCTTCCGCCTCAGCCTTCCAAGTATCTGGAACTACAGGCACGCGCTACCACACCCGGCTAATTTTCTGTTTAATTGTAGAGATGAGGTCTCACCAAGTTGCCCAGGCGGGTCTAGAACCCACGGGCTCAGGCAATCCCCTCACCTCAGCCTCCCAAGGCGCGGGATTACAGGCTGAGCCACCGAGCCCGACTGGCCTCTGATTTTCTTCAGCCTCCACACTTGCACAAACGGCCCCTGCCTTCTAAAGAACCCCTTTCCAAAATAAGCATTGGAAAACTAAAAAGCATAATGAAAATATATTGCTCACTTTATTAAAGTTGGGTGTGTGAATGTCATTCAGTGAAGAGGAGTCACTTTAGTATCATAGAAGATAGAGAAAAGTTAACAAAATTCAACCACAGTGGGCATACATTCTCAGGACCTCCTAGGGATGGGTGCCATAGGCCTAAGGTCACATTTGGCTCAGAATAAACCATCTTAAATATCTTATAGAGTTTAGCATCTTTTTGTAGATGAGAGGGAATTAGGGAACGTAGGCAATTCTAGAGTAAGAGTAAATAATTTTTAGGGGAGATGAATGGACCGCAAATCAGACAGTAACCTGGGGCAAAGTTCCTCTGGTCTGGGGGTTGGTGATTGGGGTCTGGGGGGTGGCAGCAAGTTATGGGAAGCTGAGTTGTGAGAACTGCACTGTGAATAAAGGTTGTCTTACTATGCAGAAAAATAAGAAGAAAAGAAAAAAGTTAACAAAAGTAGGAAACGTTAGAAGAGTCTGATTTCGCATACCACCACTTCATGACCCTTGGGGGCACATGAGTATGGGTTAGAAGGCTGTTTCTTCTTAAGTACCATTTCCAATTCATGAGGGACAGTAGAGAGTGGACGGAAGAATGTGGGTGCTGGAGCCCAACAGCCTAAATTTGAACCCTGGCTCTTCCAGTTCCTAGATGCAGGAAACTGACGAGTTATTCACCATCTCTGAACCTTACTCACTTCCCATTCCAAAAATGGGAATAATCCTACTATCTCATAGGACTATTGAGAAGAAAAGATAGAATAACCCACGCAGCTCACAGCGCCTGGCACATAGTGAACAATAAATGCTCACTATTATCAATACTGTTATTATGGCATGCTCATTATCCTAGGCATCAGTTAACAAGGCTCAAGAAATATGCTTTTTCCCTCCATTCCTCGTACAGCTACACCTAATCGTGATGAGCTGCAGTATTGCTGAGTTGTAAGCAACTTAACCAGATCTGCTAACGTTTGTTAAGTGTGTTGACTCCGTAAAAGACTGTGAATGTGAAGTGCCATTTCCAATTTGAATAAATACAAAGAGGGATGAAAATCATTTGAGAATGGAGATATTGGCTTGGGAAGAGTTTAAAAGCCGTGCACGAGCTGTGATATTGTACATGTGTTTTCTCGGTGTTATGATTTCTGATTTTGTATTTGTAATGTGAGAACGGTTAATCTTCCTTGTTTATAAATTGAGCCTCATTGTAGTTGATCCTTCCCAGATTGTAAGAAGATCTGATCCTCAAAAAGAAAAAAGTCTTTGGGTCAATTATTGCCATGTTATTCTGACGAGTGCTATATGGTCTAAACTTGTTATAAACACAAGGAGGAAGAGGAAAAATGCAAAGAAAACGACTCCTGGTAAGGAGAAAAAGAGTTACTAAACTAAATGTGATCCAAGTGCCCACCAGGGTAATGTGTTGTACCTAATAAAGTGTGTCCTCAGGAGGGTGCTAGGAAAGAGAAAAATTGTCTCCCTTAGCAGATGTATTCATTCATATTAGAATGAATTAGAATATTGCATTCATATTCTCATTCTCACCTTCAGTTTATGCACATATTAGGACCTCTCATTTGAGCCGTCTTTATCTGGTGAGACAGTCACTCACTACACAATGAGAGAACATAAAGCAGCAACTGCAATTGGTGTCTGCAAATTTCATGCAATCCCACGCTGACTTATGACTTCTTTTTGTCCTAGTCTTCCCTAAATCCAGGCTCCAGTTTTGGCTTCCTGAGCCAACTATTGGATTTGGTCCTCTCTCTGCATTTTCACCTTAGCTTGCCCTGCCTGCTACCTCCACACTTTCTCCCTGATCAGCCTCACATACTTGCATCCTCCTCCTGTTTCTCCTGTCCTGCACAGTTAACCTGACCTCATTTTCCAGAAGTTCACATCTTTGACTTAGCCACGGAGAAGGTCTGCTTATCAATTGGTCCCTGGGCAGCTAGCTAATGCTTGCTTCAAAGGCTTACACTCCTGTCTGATTCCAGCCTCACAAAGACAGCCATGGAAGGCACCTTGGCTCTCATAACACATGATC